GGGTATGGAGAAGATTTATGCACTTTGTCACCTATTTCGTCACCACTGTAAGAGAAAAGCGTATAAATAACACAACAAGAGCTGTTTTTATTCATTATTTCGAAGTCTTTTCTACCTAGTTCGTTTTCGATCAAATACAGCAGCAAAAAATAATGAGTAAGTTCGTATCACATCTTACTGGTCATATACTTCTAGGATGATCTTAAAGACCTAATCGGATGCTTCGTAGAATGTATTTGCGCCAAGATCTTTACCATTATCATCCATTACGATGCCAAACTGAGAAGTGCGCCTGAAATATAAAACGAAATCTATCGCTTTGCTGACCCTATCACTTTTATATATCTCAGTATTTGGTAAAGAAGCTTAAAGCTGCGACATCAAATTTGTCACATGCACTTGAAAAATAATATCAGAAAGTTCAATGAGAAGAGGCCAAGGGGAATCTATGACTCAAAAAACAAACAATTCAGAAAAAGCTTCAATAGTTGTTCTGACTCTCCGTTGTAAACGAATGATTTGTACGTGCGTTTTTTAAATAGATTTTATCACCAAGCAAGTTGAAAATAAATTGGGTGTGGATTTGAATGGGGATGGCATGGTCGGTTCGGGTACGATTTAGTTCCTGAATAGATATATTCCATGAAAGTTTCGTTTTATTTTTGAAATAGGTAGTGGTCGTGGAGCTGCTGGTGGTTACCGTTCACAAGGCCAAGGAGATGGGGGCTTTATTAATCAAGCCGAAAGTACCACACATATGGATCTCAATGGTGACGGAACTGTCGGTGGTAGATCTAATCATCCCTCAAATCCAAATCAGTATGGCGGAGTTGGATACGCTCCAAATTCACAACAATCCAGTGGTGGAGGCTTGATGAATCAACTCGAAAACGTTACACATATGGATCTGAATAGTGACGGACGTGTCGGTGGTGGTTCTACTCAACCCTCAAATTATAGTCGCCAAGGCTACCAGCACTAAAAACATTAAAGATGAATTTCTATAAACCTATTTTCGTTATTGTCAACTCTATCCTAGCAGTATAAATTTTTAATTTGAATTTCAAAGTGGTCGTGAATGCACATATATAATTCAAGAAAATACAACAAAGAAACGAGAATAAAGTTGCATTATATTTTTCAGTTTCTCAAACTTTCGTCTTCTTTCCAAAAATAGAATTTGAAATTGCTAAAATATTTTTGTCTAGTGGAAAAAATGTTGATTCCCGAAGTTACACGAGACTGTTACAATGAACGGAGTGCCGAATATCAGCTTAAATGATAGAAAACGAAAGTTTGAGAAACTGNGATCACCACAAGAACAAGCATTCTGTCCACTGAATGACGACTTCTTCTGATGAACATTATCTTGACTTTTTTCTTTATGTACATTAATTATAGTATATTGTTCGTGTTGTGGATTTCTGTTTAAAGAAAAAGTCACGTATCTTTACTGGTGTCTTATTTCTATTGCTTCTCTTTTCTTCTCAATATCAGTGTGTGACAATTTTTAATAGAAGACGTTCCAGCACGAGTGGAATAACGTTTTCTGAAGAGACGGTTGACCAGAACACTAACCTATAGACAGACTATGGGACTGATCGGAGTCCGATTTTCGATTTAGACTCTTGAAAGCAAGCCCATGTTCTGAAACTTCTAAATCCAATGTTTCAGCCTTTTCTCTTCTGACTTCGTTCTGAAAAACACGAGAAGTCACTAGGTGTCATACTCGAGTTCATCGTTGAAAAAATTGGTTTCCTTTTCGTTTTTTACAGATGTATCTTATTTTGCGATTTTCTCTGCAACCGGGGGATTGTTCAAGTTGTGCAATACTTCTAAAGATAGTCTCTTACTCGAATTCTCAAACACACTTTGAGATTGGCGAGGATTCTGACAATGATGTGTCATGCTGTCATTGAACTTAGTCATCAAGGAGTGTCGACAACCTTGCCAAAACAAAATGCTTGCATATTCCGAAAGTCCGTCAAAACCTGCACCGTCTGGTATATTATTCAAAAGGAAAAACAATTAGGAGAAAAGTTCTTAAAAACCGAACTTGACCGACTACCGGTGTCATTAGCATATTTTAGGCATTCATTCGACTCGTATTCGTCATATATCTCTACCATTTGCACTCAAAATTAAAACACAATAATAGACTCTTGTTTCGCATGGGAAAAGGAGTCTTGCAGGCAACACTACCGTTTTCCAAAGGGTCCAATTAGTAATTCCGCCAGGCACACACCTGACTCTATACTTCGACTATTCATACTTGATAAAATGCTTCTTTTTCAGATCTAAATTGGTAGTTTTTTATAGTTTTCAAGGACTACAATATGCACTAATTAATTATCATTTTTGTTCCAGCTCATATGCCAAGAAAGGCTCTTTGTTTTTGAATATAACATTGGCCTATTGCCATCCGAAAAATGGCGTATGGATACTTTCTCACTGTGTCAGTCGATTTGTCTGAAAATTTCACCATAGATGCAGCTCCCTTTGCTCTATCGACTGACAGTATCAACGTTTTTAATTGGTGGAATTCTTCAATGACAATAGTTTGGAAAAGTCCTCAAAATCTCTAAATGTGCATGCAGACTAATGTTTAGAAATTTTCGTTTTTTTTTCTTGGCTCTTATTTGCAGTATTCAGAAGAACACAATTATGACTGTGGAAGTATTTAATTGAATTCTGCAGTGCTAGATTCGACCTGAAATATGTGCGATATCAATATATGTTGCTCGGCTGAATATCATCATCCCCATATATATCAGTGTTGCAATCGGGTGTAGGTTTAGATTAAAGGAGACCAACACCCACCAGCCAAAATCGCATTTTTTTCAATTTTGACAAATCACTTCATACCAATCAATTAAAACTTTATTTGATCGACAATTGTTTTTTCAAATCTTGAAGTAATATTTGCAGCGAACGGCTAAACGAGCAGAATGAACGATGCACAGACAAAAGGATTCTAGTAAATTTTTTATTTTGAGTTGAGTGTACGGGGTTTCTACCACTTTTCCGATAGAGATATTCTTTTTCGATGTTTATATTTCAATTAGAAATATAGTGACCCGAAACGTTCTGCGAGTAGAAAAAAGTTACTGCACATAAAAAGCGTCGAATTCTAGCTAATTTGTTAGGAGCAACTCAGGTTGAGTGTAACTGAACACAATAATTTTAATGTATAGTCGTCAATACAAAGCTCTGGGTCAAGTTTCAATCAGTCCTAATATCATCTGTTTTCTTTCAAACGTTTTTCAAAGATAGAGCTCTTAGAATAACATATTTAAGCAGTGATTCGAGTCCAATCACTAAAGGTAATATTGAGTTAGAAAGGACAGATGATTGCTTTGATAATTGAAGTCGACAGAAGTGGCGTTTTTTACCTGAATTCATGTGTCATTTGAGATCAGCGATATAAACCTGTTTTTCTCCGGTAACTTTGCACCGTCTCGAACGCTTTGTCATTGGTATTTAGTCGGATTAAGCTTTCTAGATCCCTTATCTTTAGTGAAATGCCAAGTTCATGCGTAGGAATGAGATTCATTTGCCTTGGTTCAGTTGTATTATCGAATTTTCATATCAAGTGTCTTGTAGTCAAGACGTAATTGTCGTTGGAATTCGTGTACCTCATATGATTGAGCATGAAATCAAGAAGACGGAGAGAAAGCAATTGTAAAACTAGTGCTAGATGAAAATGTTCGGATAAGCTCGTAGCATGGTGTGAAAGTATTTGCCTTGGCATTTTCTTGCTCTTTTATTAACACAGACCAAAATGAATCAAACAATTCTCAATCAGTGAAACCACTTTCAAGAATCACATACATATCCTGTTGGTTCTAAAAATAGAAATATCTCTATCAAAAAGGAATCGTGGAAAGAGATAGTTCAATACGAGGAAAGTACATTTTATAGTGTAACACCAGCTAAACAGCGTTTATCTTGGCCAAAGATTTCGAAAATGTTGCTATCAAAAGAGGAGAAAAATTCTGAGCCGAGCCACTAACCTATGGTCAATAAACCGAGATGATGCAGACCTCCAAGCGAAACACTTATCGAAATTGGAAAAAAATGCGCTTTTTGGCATTTCTAACCAAGATGCACTGCTTTTGCTGCTCTTTAAACACTGCAGATCGATAGGACGTGAAGAGTTTCGTATACCGACGAAGTTCGGCATTGTTTCAAGACTTCATGATGGCGAGGCACAGGTCAAAGATAATGCATGACGCGAAAATAGACAATATTCGGCTCTTTATCTCAGTTTATTAGAGAAAACCAGTGTTCAGATTTTTATAGCCATATTTGAATAAAGCTCATATCTTCATATATTTTATATCAATTTCTCACAGATTTGAAACGTTAGACGGGCGACCACGAGGAAGAAATCTGAGCTTCTGGCCACGGTGGTCAATTCAGAGAGAGAACGTTTTTTTATTTATGAAAAACTTCATGGGCCTTCTCATGTTGATAATCGTGATCAGCACGCTTTAATGTATCGAGCAGCATAGGTTTTGTTTGAATCAGAATTCCAAATATTCTCGCAGATTCCTCTTTTTGGACCACTGGCCCGAAAAAACATCCTGTGAACTGTTGCAAAACTGACCTATGGAATACGATCAGGATCCATCCTTAAGTCATTACTGAAGAAAAAACTCGATTTTATTGAGGGTTCGAAGATGACCTTATCCGTCCTCCTCTTCTACAACCCAAACAACATACTATGAATCATATAGACAAAGAAAGAGCTGAGACAATGCTCATCAAAAGAAATCATCAGCACGATCACCATTCAGTGCACAACACATTTGTTCTTGTGAAATTCGATCATGGCAGCATGATCTGTTCCTTGACTTTCGTTCTGCCAGCATCTAATGTTGCATCGACGCGCTCACTCAGCTTCACAGTTGGATCGTTCGCTTTGTCTAATTTGCCTTCGATCCTCTTGCTTTGCACTATTTGCCTCACTTTTTCAACACCAGCTTTCATAGCGTCCATTATTCGATTTCTATAAGCAGCACAACAATTTCTGATTGCTCGTAAGACATCAATAGACAGATTCAATTCACATAGCTAATCGTGAGATTAGTAACAATGGTTGCTTGCAATGAATGCAAAGATGCATTGGAAATAGAACTCGTCTTTACATATGGTGCTTGGAAGGAAAGAGCATTATTTTTCTTCTCTTCTCTTCTCTTTCTCTCGTTCTTTTCTACCTTTACTCATCCTCAATATCGCTCCTTTTCACGCAGTATAGAACGCAAGAGAACGAGGGTCATCAAGCTCAGAAATGGACGGGTTACTTGCGTGCATTTAACTCTTTGCGCAAAACGTCCACTTCTTGTACAAAATATTGAGAGATCTATCTCGTTATAGGTTGAGCCTCTTTTTCAGGACACGATATAGCTACTTATCTATGTGCGAGAATGAATATTGATTATTAAAAAAAACAGCTTATAATACACAGATGGTCGCATCTTGCTCTCGGATGGTTTTGAGTTGTTCTTGAAGAACTTGCCGAATTTTGTTGTTCAAGAGTTCGGCTTCCGACAGAGCCACGTCGTACTGATGAATGAGATGAGTCTCGCCACGATGAACTTCGGCGATGGCTGACTCCTTGCTTCGACCGTCAGTGCACCAGGCCTTGACGTCGACCCACGTCTGATGAGCCTTACCAAGGCCCGAGCTTGATGTCACTCTAAATACAGTTGAAAGATGGCAGGCACACACAGAGAGACAACTCACGGTTTAAGGTTAAGTTCGTTTCTGATAACGCTTGAAAGTTGACCGATGAAATCAGAACGGATCTTGGCGATAGTTTGGAAGACTGCTTGGAGCACAGGGTCTGTGCAATTCTCAGCACATGCCTTGTAGCCGTTGTACGAATCGTAGAGATGCTCCAACACTATTTGACATTTGTGTCCAGTGATTTTGTGCTGATCGGCCGCATCAGTCGATGAAACATGTTTGGTTGGTGAA